TAGTTAAGGACTGTAAACTTTAGAACTCCATTATAAATGTACTTGTTATTAGAACTCAAATGGTGTCAACTAAGGTCAATTGGAAAGAACTATGTGTCTTACTGTTAACTAAAAAAAAATGTTAGCAATTGAATTCTTTGCTAACTGAAGTTATGTTAACTTTTCTTATTCTTTTCTCTTATTGAGGATGGAGTTCAGCGAGGGAGATAGGAGCAGTGATGGCACAGGCATGAAATTGTGGCAGTTTTGGCTAGGAGGTGAGGAGGTCTGCAGCCAGCCTGCTGGCTGATGGCTCCTGGCTTCACAGAAACCTCCACAGAAATGGAACTCTAGATTTTTTTTTGATTTTTTTTTTTATTTTTATTTTTTTTTACCTGTGTAGCCCATTTTGAGAATCTGAATGGTCATTTGGCAAGCCCTGGGAGATCAAGGTGTGGCACAGTAAACATTCCAGTGAGGCACTACTGTGCAAATTAACGTTGGAAAATTTGTTCTGCCAGAGCCTATGAACTCTCTGTTTTTCGAACATGGTCACCAGCTCTAAATCTTTGTTACAATAGATGAAAAGGCAGTAGAATCCCCATTTTTCCTTCCTCTCCATTTCGTTAGTGAGGTCTGGTGAATTCCAGCTCTCCTGCCACTGCAGAGCCCTGTAGAGTACAGAAGCAGCACCTCGATTAAATATGAAATATCAAGATAAATGTCTGAATAAAATATCTAGGACTCAGACAAACTTCCAAAACCTGCTTGTCAGCAGTGAAATGCCATTAAATCCTCTAGGAACTCATTAATAGATTAACATTTGGAAGAGTAATTACAGCTACATTAGAACTAAGAATAGAGAAAAATACAGGAAAATCTAGCAGCATCATTTCTCTAAACCCTTGACACAAAATGAAGATCAATACTATATAAAAAATCAGAGGGAAAGAATTAAGGTCAAGATGATTATGTCAAAAATAGGTAAGCTGTTCATATATATTTCAAATAAAACTAGTGTGGATGCTGCTGATATGTAGTGTTTCATATTGTTTGTGTGGAATACTACCTCACAGGGGATAGAAAAGGAATATTGAGGTGAAATCAAGGATGTATCTGGCAATTGGGTGAGTTGATGACTTCAGTGCTGTTAACCTAAATCACAACTAAAATTAACAATGTCAAGCTTTGTAGCTACATTTTCTGAGCCAGAGCAAGACACTGATCTTTAGTGAGACAGAAATATATTACCCTTCAAAAGGATTAAATACTGCAAAAGTCTTTTTTGAGAATTTATGTTACAGCTCTGTAAAGGGAAGAGAAAAGATAAGATAAAGTAGGTGCTATAGTTAGATAAATAGGTAAGACCTTGAAAGATGTTTTCATTTTTCGTCAAATTCTCACAATCTGTGAATTTTATATATATAATTCATTACATTATAACCTGAAATATGAATCTTGCAAATTTATGAAATAGGAAGAAACACAAATGGAGAAATTATGACTTTATTTAGAAATGCTTCTTTGTTACTGTGAGCATACCTACTGTAGACCCAGGCTGCACAGCAGTGCGCCGGCAGGAACTGAGCTATTCTCAAGAGGATAAAAATCAAAATATAAGAAAAGAAACAAGGATGTAAAATACATAGATGACAAAAAAAGAAATGAAGTCATCAATGTATAAAAAAATGTTAGGGTTTTAGATTTGCAATTTTCTTATTTAAATGCCCTCACTGATTTGTTACAAATACTGTTAACCCTGTGTTTGGAAAATGGTGGGTACATTATCACTTCTGTTCTCATTTGTAATAAAATAGATTAACTTGCTGTGAAATTTTAACTAGGCTGAGACACAACAGTAGCTACCTAATGAACCAGAGCACATTGCTGTTAAGTAGCTAAATAGATGCATACTGATTACGGGACTGAAAAATGGATCTGTTTACTTGCAAAAGGAGTCTGTTCATAGTGTTATTCATTGTGGTAGGGGAAATTCAGCATTACATTTCCACACAAACATTTAGAAATAGGCAATTTCTCCATCCATATGCAGTCTTACACGATGATACTTTATCCTCATTTGTAGTACATACGATATAGAGAAAATTTCAGCTCCTTTGTTGCTTACAGGGAAAAGTGTATCTTCCCTGTTTATGTAAATTTTTGTAACTGGTAAGACGTTAGATGACATAATCAACTAATTCTCTTAGAAAGTGATTCACTGTGTGATTAAGAACGACATTATTATTTGACACTTTTATTTCTGCCTGAACATTTCAAACCAAGACCCTGAGTTTGAAGGCAAATTACTTGAAGCAGAGATTGTTTTATAGCAAGAGGCAATGGGAAATGCAGTTACCAGAAGGAGCTCAAATCCTTTGCTTTTCCAAATCATCAGCTTCTGAATGACTCAGATAACTCCCATTTAAGATGACATATATGGCTGTTGTGTGATATCTAAGTGTTAATTCATAGTCGTATTTGTTCATGGTTTTTTTTGCAGAACAGTTGGCATGTCCTCTCCTTGGCTATTCATTTTCATGGTTGCAATAGACAATGAAATTTACTTAAACTGTCTACTCTTCTGTAAAACTAATGATTTCAAAGTGATATCTTAATTGTAATTTGAGTAATCTTGTGGTAAAAAGAGAGGAAATAGTGCCAAGGAGGGCGGTTAAAACTGAAATCCAGGCAAATAAAATGACAGTCAGAGTTGTAGCCTGTTAGCAGTAACCTGTGTGGAAGCTATTATTTACACAAAGGTAGAAGACGCATCGTATTTAGCAGCTCAGGATTGCATATATATGATTCATCATTTATTTAGCAGAAGACTTCTTGGGGTAAGAAAGTGACTGTTAAAAGTAACTTAATAAGCAGCCCATCCACAGATTAAGTCCCAGCTCTCTTTTACTTTTCCGCTTATCTCGGCAACCTCTAAAAATACTCTTGGAGCCTGAGAAGAAGAAAACCCAGGACACTGTAGGATCGGTGACTTTGACTCGTTTTGCTCAGAATCTGAAAGGCGGTTTGTTTAAAACCATTCAGTTTTCAAAACTTTAAGGACTTTGTGACTCAACAGAATAGATTCATATCTGTTGAAACTTAATAAACATTTTTAATTAGCGTTCACAAATACTGCAATTAAAAGTCTCCCTTTAAGATTTGTTAGTTATTGTATGTTCATTAAATAACAGACAATGAGTGAAACCGATCCATTGAGGATTAACAGCTATGTAATAGATACGCATCTGTCGCAGGGTTCTGAGGCTCGGTTGTTACTTCACGTACAATAACGATCCCATTAAACACACACTCAGCCCTACGCTCTCAGCTGCTGGGAGTGGAACAGGCAAATGCCGGCCCTCGCGCTGGGGGTCGAGACTGGAGGATCCAGTCGCGCTTCCCCTGTGCGTCGTTCTCAAACGTGACTGTGAGCAGGAGGATCGCTGTGGTTGAGAGAGGCGGTTTGAGTGGGTAACAGAACATTCTTAAAACATCGATCTTGCTGCCAGCGTTATTAATGAATTGCCTGGATGGGTTGTGAACAGAAGCTGTTGTGCTAGCTATTTAGAATAGAAAAACTATCAGAATCTACCATTCTTTTCCTAAAGCTACATTATTGATTTAGGATACTGTCTAGCAGAAACAGCATAAAAAGTTCAGATGCTATTGAGTTTATTTTCAAAAGCGTGTGCTAAATTGCCACCAGGTAGCCAGATTGCATACTCCTAATGAAAAATCTTTGAGAAGAGGTTAGAAAGGCAGAAGAATTGCAAGGTTCCTTTGAGACAGCTTCCTCAGATTACACTGTAATTGTGATTTTTAATGAGGTGGGGGCAAGAGGATCTCTCTTTATTTTAAAAAAAAAAAAAAAAAGAAATATTTGAGTTCTGAGTTTCCACAAGGAACAGCTGACTGCCAGGGCTGAGGGCATCTCCAAAGATGCAGTTTGTGGAACTCTTTAAATTCAAGCGTCTCCTCGTTAGGGTCTCTCCACTGGAACTCCACCTTCAAGGCCTTGTAACAGAAGATTTATGAGACTGAAGGGATTTTAAGGATATCTAGAGTATCTCAGGCCATGATCTGTCGCTTTTAGAAGATTCTCATTTTTTGTTGGTTCTGGGAACAGGAAGGAAGGGTACTGGAATTTAGAATTAATTCAAAAAGATTATACATGTGGAATCGCTGGGTTGGAATGGATCTCAAGTGGCTGTAAAATCTCTTCTCTTCCTCAGGATACAGTGAATTATTACTTCTGCCACACTTGTCTAACCTGTTCCGAAAAATTTTTATGGATGAAAATTCCACAGCATCTTCTGACAGTCTACAAGATACAGATACACAGAACTGCAGAATTGAAATTTGCTGGACTTTTACAGTTTCTTACCCTTTTTTTCTCCTTACCTAAAGTACTATATATATTTAAATTAGAGGTTACTGTCAAGTAAGAACTTGCAAGCACATTCTTATTTTTGTTAGCCAGTGGTGCTTTTCATGCAAAAGTGAAGTTCTTACCAGTGCCGCAGCTTTTAAAGTTTGGGCGCTAACCTGAGAAGTTAATGATGTGATTTATTCAGGTACAGCTTCTAGCGAGTTCGCAGAGTTGACTGCATTTAGTGACGGTTTAGTCCAAATCTGAATTGTTGATTTGAAATGTGACTCATATACGTCAATTTTACTATCAGGAGATCAAAAGTAGTTTGCGGAAACAACACTAAAGAACATTTGTTATGGTCCTATGTGTGAAAATGTTCGAAAATAAGAAGTTACCAAGAAAAAAAAGGTGGTGAGTTATGTCATGACACAAAGGATGAAAAGCTGTGCCCAATGCATTGCACGTAGAAGTCTGTACTCTCTGTGGCTGTAGAAGACTATAGTGCTCTTTCGATGTGAATTCTGTTCACTGTTTATCTTGGAAGGACCATTTGTTACTGCTGGTTTAGCCAACTTAATTTTTTCATCAAAGTTCAGTGAAGTTCATGAATCAAATTGCACAGACTCTGTTTTGCTTCTGTTTCAAGGAAAGGATTCAAGACAGCCCTTCTCCAGCTCCATCCCTAGAAGACAGCCAGCGGCCTGGGAGCCACGCGTCCTCCCACCAGAGCAGCAGCGTGTCCAGCTCGCCGTCCCAGTTGGACAACACACCAGACAGAATTGGTTAGTGCTCCACAGCCTCACACCCTTTTACAGTTACTGACCTCACGAATTTCAGACGTTTGGTGAGGCAAACATTGCTTTGCTGGGAAACTCAGGAAAGCACTCACTTGGTAAAAAAACCCCGGAAGGTTCATCACTATAGTTATTTTTACTAGGTTCTTCCCTATGCTGAGGCCAGCACCTCAGATCCATTCTGTGCCCTTCTGTATCCAGTCACGCACAGAAGGTACCACCTCTTCTCTGGTACAGCCAGGTTCTCCTGCATGCTGGGGTAAGAAAGCGCCTCTGAAGGCACCTGGAATTGAAAAATAGCAAGATACGTTTTACTTTGTATGTATGTCAGAAGAGTCTCAGATGATACGATGGGCTTTTCTGTTCCTCAAACCTCCTCATGCACACATTCCCTCATCACCACGAGGCTGAGGGCTTTTTGATTTTTTTGGTCTCTCCACCACAGCTTTCACAGCCTGTGCGTTATTGATCATGTGTTTAAAATGCGAATTCAGTCTAGAGGAAGTTTAGATCCTATTCTTGGTGCTTCCAAGAGGGATCTGGGGCAAGTCAGTTAACATCTTTTCACATTGGTGTACATCAGCACTGTTGTCTTCGCTGTGATTGGAGCCCAGGCAGGCATTGCTGAGCTAGATTTAAACTATGGGAACAGTGCAGGCCATGGAAGACAGCATAGACTCCACTCCCACCAGATAACTGCTCCATTGCTTGCTGGGATTTTGCAGTTTTGACTCTGGTCCGTGCAGCAGCACCATGACACTGCACAGCACAGCTGGCTCTGCGCAAACGTCGTGATAGGACGAGAGGCAATGGCCTCAAGTTGCGTCAGAGGAGGTTTAGGTTGGATATTAGGAAACATTTCTTTACTGAGAGAGTGGTCAGGCGTTGGACCAGGCTGCCCAGGGCAGTGGTGGAGTTCCCATCCCTGGAGGGGTTCAAAAACCGTGTAGATGTGGCACTTGGGGACATGGTTTGGCAGGCGTGGTGTTGTTGGGGTGACGGTTGGACTCGATGATCTTAGAGGTCTTTTCCAACCTATGCCTCTGTGATTCAAACCAGTCGGCAAAACCTGAACTCCTGGGCCCAAACGGCTGCACACACAGGGCAGGGAGTGGAAAGCAGATTCCCCTCAGCTTTCTCAGGTGTGAGGTAGGGCTGGAAATGCACAGGGCAAGCAAAGTAACTTCCGTAGCAACAGTGAAAGAGGGACTTCTGTCCTCAGTGTAGCTTTTGAAAGCTACCCGGAACTTGGTATGTTAATAGTAGTAGCACACACTGCCAGCTCTGGGCTCTAGCAATGGGGTTTTACAGTTTTTTAAGTTTTTTAAAGAAAACTAGGTTTTATTTATGTTGAACCAGATATTTCTCTGTGTTGAAGTCTAATGCTTACTGTTGTGAAGATACATATATACACATTGTATCTATATAAATATAAATATATTCTTACTTTTGCAATTTTTTTTTAAAAAAAGCTTTCTCTAAAATACGGCGATGAAGTTTTTAACAAGTGTCCTCACTGGAATAACTTTAAATTCTGTAACTGGTTAATTGCAGAGAAGGAAGTGTTTTAACCAAATAAGAACAAAGAAAATAGACATCCTGAAATCCTAAACTTAACACCTCTCACTGATCTTGCTGGTGTTAAGTAAATAATTTCTTTCAGCATTTTGTTTTTTCGATTTCATCTATCAATTTGGGTTACTGTCTGTCTATCTGTATTTCTTATTAAGCTTGCTGCTTTATAGATAATTACTAATAGTTAAATCCTTAAATGTATTTTTCCCAAAAATTATTTCTGTGAAGTACTTTTCTAATTGGTTAATTCCAACATTTCATAAGAAGTCACATTCATCTCCGTAGTAATTTGGATTGTGTCTTGGTATCTTTGTTTAATCAACTTGAGCAAATTTGCTTTTGCTGCATATTTTACTTGGCTCTAAGTGCTGAACTGGGACAGTAAAATGGTTGATTATGGACAGTAAAAATGGGCAATTGCTTTAGAACTTACATAATATAAATCAATGTTAAAATACAACAATATTGACAAAGAGGAAATACAATTTAATATTTTCCTCTCTTCTGACATTTTTTTACTGGCAGTGTTATATAGCTGTGCGCTCTGATTTTTTTTAGCGATGCTGACCAACAGCAGGGAAGGAGAACTCATTGATCAAGAAACTGGGACCAGCCTAAAAAAAATACAAAAGGAGAAAGGTAAAATTACAGACTCTTTTCCATCTCAGGCATTTAATTACACTTGCTGTGTGTTTTATTCCTTTTTCTAGTATTCGGCATATGCAGTGGCATAATATTATAAATTTAAGAGAGCTAAGTGCCTAATTGCAATGAATAATGTATCCAGTGAATTTACATGGCGTTCTCTTTAGGAAGTGTAAACAATCAGATCTTCGCTTCTCTCTGTTTATATAGTATGAGGCTAATATTTTGCCCGTCTTTTGACTCAATTATTTATGAAATTCCTAGCAAATATTTGATTAGTCACATGGTATTGTTTCTTTGCCTCCAGGGGTTGTGTGTGCAGACTACTCTAATGCTGGTAATATAGGTGAGGGAAACAAGCCAATTTTTGTGTCTAATAATACCCCATTAGCACGGAAGGGAGAGGCGATGTTTGGCCGGTAGTGACTGTCCTGCAGGCAAGGAGGTGCCGCCTCCGCTCGCTGCTCCCCGCGGGGATTGTGGGGTGCTGGGGAAGGCGGACACTGGTGTGCGCAGGCGAGCCCTGGGGAAGGGCTGCAGCGTTGGAGAGCGTGCGGCGTCTGTGGCTGCACGGCGAGGGAGGAGAAGCCATTTTGTTTCCTTGAAAATACAACAGCAACAACAAAATCATATTAATAGGCGAGCGGTTTATTCTGGCATTACGTACAGAAAGCACCATACCAAATGTGTGCCTGCAAAAAAAACGAAGATGGTATCTAGTTAAAGAAATAAAAGAAAGCTGAAGGTAAGTGAACACTGGAAAAATATTGCAAAGGCATATACTGAGGGAGATGCTAAGGTTTCAGGGTGAAAAAGGTGTGAAAGAAAGAGAAGGAAGTGACCAAGAGAGGAGATAACATCAGTTAAATGTACCTACAGGTCTACTGCAAATAGGAACATTTTACCATAAATGAAAACATGAACTGATTTATATTGAGGTGATTTTCATGTATTTTCTGAGAAAACTAAAAAGGCAGGTATAGACAATTTTATGAGCTGTTTGGAGGCTCTATGTGCCTTGTGGGTCCAAAGTTATGTAAAATTGTTTGAGCAGGTTCATAATTTTATGTGCTCAGCTCTATGCCTTAGACCTCTGTGACTGATCCAGTCATGGGTAGGAAGAGCCTGAAACTTCCTCCTTATGTTTGTATTTCGTACTCAACTCTCTCTCTTCTTGAAAGGAGGAGAAGCTGTTTTCTATTTACTGGTTTCTCTAGGCGTTTCAGCACTTTGCTCCTGAACTCCAAAGAGTCCTTCTGTGCCATTCTGAGATATTTCTCTGTCTAGATCATCATGCTTAAATCCTTCCCTCCTATTTACAGACCAACACCAGAGGCTAAACAGTTATCAACCATACTTTCATTCCCAAGATCAAAAAATCACACTTCTGTAGTGATTACATAGATGACTATTTAATCTAAATCTGGCAGCGTAGTTGATTTTAATTTTGATGAACTGTGCATGGTTTCTTGCCCCATATCTAGTCATTTTTCAGCAAAACAATTCAATATCGAATGGGCTTGTAAGATGCAAATCATGTAGCTATTGGTAGTAGCAGTCCTGTCACTCAGGACGGATGAAGGAAGGTACAGTTTAAGAATCAGAAAAGACAATTCAGAAATCCCCAAAAGAGTGAAAATAATTTAAACCCCACCATCTGTGAATCCAGTTCCCAGGCTTCTGTGATCGTTGAATGTTCCTTGTAACGAAATCACGAAGTTCTGATGCTGACATTTTGTGTACCCTAATTCACCTGAAGACTAGAGTTGGATAGGCTTATTCCTTTCCTGGTTGACATTTTTGCATAGTGTTATCTCTCTTCAATTGATTATATCAAGTTGTTTTTAAACTTGAGTTTAAAAGGGAGTTGGGGCTGTTCAGCCTGGAGAAGAGAAGGCTCCAGGGTGACCTTAGAGCAGCTGCTAGTACCTGAAGGGGCCTGCAGGAAGGATTGAGAGGGGCTTTGCACAAGGGTGTGTAAGGGTAGGACAAGGGGGAATGGCTTTAAACTAAAAGAGGGCAGATACAGATATTAGGAAGAAATTCTTCCCCATGAGGGTGGTGAAACACTGGCCCAGGTTGCCCAGAGAAGCTGTGGCTGCCCCCTCCCTGGCAGTGCTCAAGGCCAGGTTGGATGGAGCTCTGAGCACCCTGGGCTGGTGGAAGATGTCCCTGCTCATGGCAGGGGATTGGAACCAGACAATCTTTAAGGTCCCTTCCAACCCTTACCATTCTGTGATTCTGTGATATACTGGCACATAGGTTACTTCTGCATGCACTTATGATAATTTTTTAGGATGAAATTAATGTTCAGGCATTCACTCACATCAGAAAAAAGTGCTTCAAAATGATGAGAAATTTTAAATTATCATTTTGAAGACAGAATAAGGTTTCTGTCTTTCTCATTGGTCTACACAAGTCAAATATTTCTCTGAAAACGTGAGAACAGGAAACTATTCTTTTTTGTCGTGTAAAGATGTAATTTTCAAGTAATCCCATGGCTCCAGAACCAAAACGACATTATAATGGGAGAAATGGTGGAATTTTAGAGACACTAACATTGTATATCTAACAATTCTAAGCTGATTTTGCATTTGGCAGTGTGACAGCTCTATATTACAGTTCCTGTAGGAAGCTCTGTTTTATAGGGTAGGAGCGCCCAGTAAGGGATGGACTGCACCAGTAGGACAGAGCCAGTACTCCGCTTCTGGAAGTCCCCAGCCTGTGTGTGCTGGGCCTTTCCCTCACCTCATGCAAGTGCCGTTCTTCCTCGGTGATTGGTCTCACCCCTGTGTAGATTCTGTGTTCCTAATACTATTATTATTCTCTTGTGCAAAATTAGTTTGGGCTCTGGTGCACCTCAAAGATGTTGAATGATTTTCACAGTCAGCTGTGGACAGTCACCAAAGAGTGGGATCTGCGCTGGGTTGCTCAGCAAAAATTACACGTGTAATTTGTATACAGAACGAGCTTTGGTTTGCAAAACCTGCCATTACTTTTACTAAGGCAAAATATATTTACCATGGAAAAGATTTTCAAAGTTATTAAGAAGGAATGTAGTTAAAATAAAAGTATCAACATTTATTAAGTATGACAAGTAAGCGGTTTATACAGCCGTGGCAAACATATGTTTTCACATCTGTTTTGAGTAATATCATCATGATTTTAAAAATGATTTATAGCTCTGCAGGCCATAAAATGCCAGCTTTGCTGTAAGTTGGAAATTTTCAAACAACAAAGAAATTATTGAAGGCATATATTGAACATGTTTTTGTGTTACACACCTTGAGATAACTTTACAAATTTGAGCACTTCGTAACGATTAAGATAGCAACAAATGACAATTAAGTGACTAAAAGGTAGTAGTAGTACTGGTTATGTGAAATCTTAGCATAAAAAATGATAAAATTTATTGTAATCATTACAGGCAAATGCTGTGATATCCTTCAGGATACACAGTTTTTGATTTCCATGTCCCATTTTAAGTGATCTCAGCACCAAAAATGTGCCACTTTGTTCTCATCAAAGTGATTTCAAGGTAATTAGGGCTGAAGAGAATATAGCTTAACGGTTTTTCTTTAAAAGGCAGTTAATATGAGGTTGTTCCAATTATGTTGAGCTGTTTGCATGTGTTGGTGAGGCAGAATTTGCAGAAGTAGCGGTTGTCTCGGCGCAGAGAGGTTGGAGCACATACAAACCATACCTTTAAGCTTTTTGGAGGAGAAAGGCCATTAATCTCAGCTACTTCGCACCCTTTCATCATCTTTTTTAAGAAGTGTGGTCAGGCTTAACATTAGAGAACAACAAAATCCACCATGTTTATAGGTCTGCAGTTTTATTTTTTGCATAAAATACATTATTATATTTTTGTCAAATGTCCTGAGCCATTATGGCGCACAAGCATTTTGCCTGTGCATCCCTGTCAGGATAAGAGTGAAAACCGTATGAAGAGTAATCTGTACTTTATTCTGAAATAGCTGATGAAAGGAAACAGTTTGAAAATCCCTCACAGAACAGAACCTCAGATGTTTACAGAAACTTCAACACAAATTCTTCCTGACTGTGGTTACTTGCTGCGTCTGGTTGTAGGCAGTTACGTTTTACCTGCACAGTTGGGCACAGAAACTGAATTTGAAATTCATCTGCTTCAGTATACACCCTGGAAAAAATCTGTTGTATGGGAAAGGATTGTGTTTGACACAGCCCTGTACAGGCTTTATCGAAACCTCTGGATGAGCTCTGGCATTCGGAAGGTTAAACGAGCCAGAGAAGAATTTGGCCGTGCCTTCCAGTTGGATTTAAGTGCTGGTACCACGCATACTGCGTGACTGCATGACAGGAAACATTTCAAGCTCCTCGTATAGGATGGAGTAATGGAAGGCACTGGCCCAACTCTTGCCACAGAAAGCAGGGAGAATGGTCATGGTGTCATCGGTGGGAGCAGAGTTTGGCCAAAGCCTGGTGTTTTGGAAGGTCGCTCCCCCAGCTGATATTCCTGGTTGTCACTCCGGGCAGGAGCGGTGCGCGTCCCGGCTGTGCCCATGCTGTCCCTCCTGGCCAGGCGCCATGCCTGACCCCGGGGAGAGCCTGTCCCGCTGCTCTGACAGCAGCGGGAGGGCCATGGCGTGCTTCGGGGGGTGTTCGGGGGGCTGGAGCTGCACTCTGGTAGGCAACCAGAGTAAAAATTCATAGGAAAAGTTCATAACCAACCAGTACCTTCAGACTTAACCTCTGTTTAAGCAGGTTTTCAGTAGAAATAAAGACTGTATTTGTTGAGAAAGTGGTGTGCTCCGAATTTCCCAGAGCTGCTCGATGGCGATGCCACCGTCCTTCAGCCCAGCCGTCTGCATCTTCAGAGCGCCAGCCTGGGCTCGAGGGCTGGGTCTCCTGTTTCCAGTAGACGGGAGTCTCCAAAACGGCGCGTCTGGCAGCTTTCCCCTTTCATTTTATTAAAGAACACCTTTCCATTTATTGCCTCAA